GATTTATCTGCGTGTGTTACCTGCATGTAACTAGTGAAGGCCTCTCAACTCTAGAAAAAAAAAGTGCGAATGTAGCTAGTAGTTATTATCTTTTGCAAGAAATCTCAATGCCATGTCTTTAAAACATTGAAGGCTTGATTTCAGACTCTTCGTTCATAGAAACTTTTTATTTAGCCTAATATTGGCCAATACTACTGCCATAATTGTGTATATTTATATTTATCGTTTTTGAAGTCGCTGCCAATGGCCGGCGAATGCCGAAGTTCTTCGTTCTAAGTGAACTTACGGAGTGGCTCTAAGAATAATAAGATTTAAAATGTTTTAAGGCAGGAATCATCAGTCTGCCAACACATTGACAGCAATGTGTGGAAGCTTGCCTTGGTTAAGAGAAGAGGTTAACTCACAGCTCTGTAGTTTTATAGTTTTATATACTTTTTTACTTTTCACAGGCCGCTGGTGTTCCTCAAGGTAGGATACTAGGTCCTATCCTTTATACAGCTTATATTGCTGATATTCCAACCCATCCTAACACTGTTTTCACCACATAAGCCGATGATAAATATGTACTATCCATTAATAATGGTCCAACTATTGCATCCCAAACTCTTCAATCACACATCACAAACCTTGAAGAATGGTGTCAAAACTGGAGTATTAAAATAAATTCTAATAAATCCCATCAAATCACCTTTACCCTTCGCCGTAAACCTATGACCTCCTGTCCTACAGTATCCTGTAATAATACCCCACTTATCCCTGTTGAACAAATCCGATACCTTGGACTCCACTTGGACAAACGTCTACCTTGGAATCCTCATACATTGAAACGACAAGAAACCGCTCGACGTTTCCGACTACTCCAACAATTACTAGACAAACGCTCTAAGCTTCCAGTTAATTACAAAACACTCATATACACGACTACAATAAGACCTATTTGAACTTACGGAATTGAGCTTTGGGGCTCCACTAAGCCATCGAATTCATCTCATATCCAATCCTTACAATACAAAATCCTCAATGCTCCTTACTTTGTCATCAATAAAATAATCCATAACGACCTTAATGTTGCTTGTGTTTCCGATTCGGCCCAATCCAGATACCTATCCTTCCAAAATAAACTTCAGAACCATCCGAATCCTTTCGTCTCTAATCTTGCTTACTCTTCTATCCCTGATAACCTTCCGAGGCGTCTGAAAAGAAGATGTCCTCGAGATCTCCTATAGTAAATACATTTTTATTTCAGATTGCTACCATTTAGTAGTTTCTCAACAAGTTATTTCATGTTATTATTTTCTGTTATCAAATTTACTAAATATATTGTATTTATTAATACAGTTGTAAATATTGTAAATAAATAAAAAAAAATTTTTTTGTCAATCATTTTTTTATTTTGTTGGTTTAAAACGAAAATGTAATTTTTTTTAATAGTTTTCAGTCATTATTTATTCAATTTCTATTTTCTTCATATTTTTTTTTTTTAACTTTAGCATTTTGATTCATTTTCCCTTAGTTCTTAGTAATAAGACTTTTTGATAGTAAATGGTAATTTTTTTATAACTTTTTAATAACTTATTCAATATTAATTTTATTCCAACATTTTTATTTTGTTTTTTTATAATTACGCAATTTAATAGTCTTTTTTCCTAGTTTCTAATAATAAAATTTCTTACTTTTTATTTTTGTTTATTTTTTATGGTGTACAATATATATTGTACACATATATTTGTATATATACAAATATTTAATTGTTCCTGTTACAGCAACAATTTTAATAAAATAACAAATAACAATAAAACTTTAATACCCTAATTCATTCAAGTATTAAATGGCTAAAAATATGAATATTTTTAATAAATATTTCTATATATTTAAGAACTAACTATTAAAAGTATCATTAGTATTGTTCATTATCAAATATTTTCACCGACTACTATTAAAAATATCGACCATTTTTTTCGATCTTATGAAATATCAATGAGTATTTTTCGATGAATCGAATTATTATTTCGATACATTAGAAAAATATCGATATCATTTATGCACAAAATTCTGGACCTACTTTCTTGCAAATGCAAAAACGAGTTAAAGAGAAAACGTCTGTTCTGTCTGGGGGTCGGTCAAAAATAACAATGAATACTTTCTAAGACTTCGATAACTTTTTTTCTATAAAACCCCACTGACTTCAACTTAAAACAGTGCTGTAGATACTATTATAAAGTAATTTCAAAAGAATATATAGGGAAAAAAATGCTGTTTCTTGGCGTATTTTTATCAGTTTAAATACAAAATTCTAATAAAAAAAAGTCAAGTTCATAGCAGAATAAAGAAGTTTTTAAAACACTAAACCGTTTTGATAAACTCAAATTGTATATCGGTAAAAGCATTTGGCTGAACCTTAAAGCGTTTTTCCACTTTGAACTATAATAGGTGCAGCCTTCATCCAAATAGTTCAGCAGTTCAAAAAATGGAGGAGAGCTTAGAATTCCAAAAGTGTACTTCTTAAATTTACATTTTCGTATACAGTACAATCTGAAAAGGTTAAATTAAAAAGGAGTTTAAAACTTTATACTTCTTGAGAATCAAAATACAATAGAATCCATCATTGGCAAGGATATGTTGGTTTTTAGATGAGGGAGTCTAATAATCATAGCTATTATAACATAAAATGGTTGTAATTTTTAATATGGCAAATATATTGGTTAACATTAAATACACTAGTATGTTAACTGCACCATACAAGAAAACAAATTAATGTTGCTCTGAACTGAAGCAATATACCAAATTTCAAGAGCCTTTAAATAAGGGCACGATGGGAGCATGAATGGAAAAAGTTAATATTCTAATTTTTATGTTAGAGGCCTATCATTATTACTGAACAAATGTCATAAATGCGTTTCCTATAATATCCTTTATTATTACAGACCTTTCGGATTCCTTCGCTACTTTCATGCATTTACTGTTAAAAAATATATATAATTAGTCAATAGAACATCAAAATATTTCAATTTTAGCACCACATCATTTGGTAATTTAATGCATAAACATTGTTATAAATTTAATATAATTTATATAACATAATCCGTGATGTAAATTAAATTATTTTAGTTGTAATTTAAATTACTTATTTTCATGAGGTTTGTGTCATTTAAAAAAAAAAATCGTTCTGTAACGCATGCCCAGGATTCAGGAAATTTCCTAGATATGATTAAAATTATATAACTTATTATAATATTAAAATTATTTCCAAAAGATATCCTGATATTTTTTTCATGATTGTCAAGTTTGCTTAGTCTTCGTATCGTATTTTACTTGGCACTTTACGTATGACTGGCTTATTTTATTTAGGATTAGGGAAGGAAAATTATTCCAGCCAATTTCATCGTTTTGCTAATAAATAAAAAAACTTGTAGGATAGATCTACAATATTGTTCTTTTGTTCATTTGTTTTAAAGATGGATTCAAATACGAGTAAAATAAGCAAATGTTAATAAAAAAAAATTTTTAAGTTTTAAATTTACTTTAAATTCAATTATTATATTTCAATATGAATCCTGAGATACATGAGGATTTCTACAGTTTCATTTGAGAAGAAAACGTCATTTAAATTCAAATTAAAGAGGAATGTTACATTTTATCACATTTAAGGCATCTTTGCGGTGACTTAACTGCTAAGTAGGACCTGATAATGCTTTCTTGCAAAGTTTGGGTAATTCCTAAATCTTAAGAAAATCTTATTGGGCAAGTTGCGACGATTGTCGCAGCCCCCACCTTGAGACAATGACATAAACTGAAAGAGAAGAAAGAGAGAGAGGGCGAGAGGGGAGCCACCCCCGAGGGTGAAACCAACCCCCGCCCCCGCTCTGGCTTTATATACCGCGGCCGGAGGCTGAGGGGTCAGTTCAGTGCTCAGTACCATCCATGGAATAGCGTCATCCACCTCCAGCAACAGCAGCGACATGACGGTAAGTAGTCAGAGGGTGCCAAGAGCGACAGGCTTCGGAGGACCGTGGTAGGAGGAAAGATTCGGGAAGAATTGGTGTTCGGTTAGAGTTGATACCCGACCAGCAAGCATCAATTCATTGGATCTTCGCACACCCAAACGAAACGTTTTAGTGGTTAAAAATTTCGGTTCAATCAAGTACCTAGCTGAAACAATGATTTGTAGAGTGTGATCAATTCTTGGATTTTTTTTTTTTTCAAATCTCCACCAGAGATTAAATAGACTAATATAAATATTTTTAATAACATAATTCTACTTTTAACTTGGCAAAGTAAATTTTGTTGAGGAAACTCGAAATGAAGTAGGTTCCATTCGCTATGAAGCTCAAAAATTTCAGTCATAATTTGTTATCATTAATAATATTAAATTTACGAAATCCAAAAAGTCATAGAACTTGCTTTAAAAACGATTTATTAATAATGACGCTCATTGACAATGAAAATTGAAATCAGTCCTATGATTTGTCTTAGAATTTCAGTTGAATTCCAATCCAGATTTATTTTGGAAATATATTTCCTGGGATAGGTATCACAAAAAAAATTTTCTCCGAACAGATTATCGAATAAAAAACTGTTATTAGAGATGGTTTTTTTGGCTAATATTTTCCACTTTCTGCGCAAACACGAAATGTCACGCTCCTTTTCACGATTGAAAACATCAAAGATAAACCCGTTATCAGGATTTTGTTTTTGCGTACTGACATAATACTTATATTCAATTAATATCTTAATTTAAAGCATTTTTTGTAATGTGAAAATTAAAGAAGAAAAATTATTGTTATTTTAATAATGAACGTGATAGATTTATTTTTAAAGAATTTAAAAAAAGTAAGTAACAAAACTTGATAATTTTCAAAATTTGCATTGCCGAAATTCACCTAATTTTTCTCGAATTATTCAATTGGTCAGTATTGGGGCCTGGGTCACGGCAAAATAACTTAATTTGTTGGGAGCTTTGGCTTTAATGCCACTCAAATTTCTAAAATGGTGTTTTTTGGATGCAGACGATAATTTGGACAGCAATACTGCTCTTCCTCAGCGGAGGGCTAGCTGAGGTGGTACCGGTGGAGGAGATTATCCACAATCTAGCGGAAGCTGATCTAGTCCCAGCAGCATCAGAGTACGTTCACTTAAATTTAATATAATCGTGACAGTATTATAAAAGCTGGGAGCTCATTGCTTAATTGTTAACGTTCTTACAGGAATCTAATCGCAGTAGAGCCAGCTGCTGATGCCACTAAGGTCGCTATCAGCCTAGTTCCCGTTTTAGATGAAAAGGGTGCAGAGCCCATAAATGATCTGACTGGTGCCGAGGCTGTGACTCACCATCACATCCATTCCGGCCATGTCGATCATGTACATAAACATCACGGTCACGCAGAACACAAACACAAACACGATGGACACCACGGTCACAAACATAAGCATCATGGACACCATGGGCACGGTCATAAGCATGATGGGCATTTCGGTCATGGTCACAAACATCATGGTCATCATGGACATGGGCATAAACATCATGGTCACTTCGGCCATGGACACAAACACAGTGGTCACCACGGGCATGGGCACAAACACAGTGGTCACCACGGACATCATCACAAACATCATGGGCATGCCGAACACGGACACAAGCACCACGGTCACTTCGGACATGGGCATAAACATCATGGACACCATGGGCACGGTCACAAACACGATGGTCATTTCGGTCATGGACACAAGCATCATGGTCATCATGGACACGGACACAAACATCACGGTGACTTTGGACATGGACACAAACATCACGGTCATCATGGACATGGACACAAACATACCGGCCACCATGAGCATGGACACAAACACGATGGTCATTTCGGACACGGGCACAAACACGATGGACATTTCGGCCACGGTCACAAACATCACGGTCATCATGGACACGGACACAAACATCATGGCCACTTCGGTCATGGACACAAGCATCATGGAGACCATCATCACGGACACAAACACCATGGTCATCATGGACACCACCATAAACACGATGGTCATCATGGACATCACCACAAACACGGTGGACATCACGGACATCATCACAAACATCATGGACACCATGGACATGGACACAAACATCATGGCCACTTCGATCATGGACACAATCATGGAGGTGGTGGTCATCATCACGATACTCATCACTCAGAAGGCGGCCATCACGACGAAATGCACGCTGATGATGTTGGAGTTCACGTCGGTGATGAGGTAGCAGACTTTCCTGCCGACGATTTCGCAACTTACGACGCTATGGAGCGAGCCGACAAGAACCAAGAGGAGGCCGACAAAAAGGAGCCCGCTCAACCTGCCAACGAAGAATAAACCAAAGAGTCATAGTTTAAGTTACCTCTAGTGTGCGAAGATGCACATTTCACGAATTTGTACAACGCACACAAAAAATGTTGTTAACATTTGACTGAGATATTTGTTAATTGTTGAATATATGAATGTTATTTTTTGAAATTTATTTTACTATATTTAGACCCTGATTCATACCATTTAAATCCAGTATCTAATCTAATACAATATGCCATTTTTATACAGATTGGAATCCTCTTATGAGAGTAAATAAATAAATAGAACTAATTTAGTAAAATATAAATAGTATACAACGACTACGTTGTACATCTTCTGAGTGTAATTTTCTTTCAATTATAAATATTCATTCATAGAATCACCGCCAATGACCCTCTAGAGTAGAGACAAATACAAAATTAAAACAAAAAAAGATTCATTTGACTACAAATAAATAGATATCGAAATGTTAATTGTATCATAAATGTCGTTAAATAATATAGTTGCTTTAAAATACCTCTCCTAAAATAGAATCATAATTATGAAAACATAATTTAGAAAATAAATTAATCAAGATATTTTACTGCAACATTCTTAACTGATTATATTGTAATTAAATGTCTTTGATAATAGCAATACAATTTTCTAAGATATTCAATTTTATTTTAATGTATAACTTAAGTTGGCTAATTTTATTTTTAATTTGTAAGTGACTTAGGTTTGGTAATTATAACTAATGTACAATGCATAAATGGGAGGAGCATTAATTTGAGCAAACGCCGGTGAAGTATTACTGAAGAAAAATAGATAAAATTATTCGTTGCAATATATATTTAAGGATAAAAACAGTTTCTCGAATCTCGTTTTCAGAAATGGTGTACTTTATGAAACGGGAGACCAATGTTCCACCAATTTATTCAGTAAATTCCATTAGAACGATTAAGTTTTCACTTTGCGGCGGTAACAGTCTGTATCGAGAACGCATAACCACCAGCTGCTCCACTAATCATCGACGGTCCAGCAAATTATGTAAGACTGAACAAATCAATCGTGACTGATTTTTTTTTCGTTTTGTTTTTGTTTACCGCTGTACTGATTTGAAATGCTTCTTGCGAAGTGAGCAGAGGGGAAGTTACATCTATCTAATGACTCAATGGAATATAGTGAAGATCGAGAAAAATGGCCTAAAATTAGAAATTACCAAACAAAATCGGTTGAGCAACTGTTCAATGAAAGTATTTAATAAAGGTACAGAAAAGGGCCGAAGCATTACATAATGCCAACGTTATAAATAATAGTGTAGCTAATTGAACAGATCAGGAACTTCAGTAGCATCGAACTACCAGGAAATAGGAAGTATCGGAGGAAAATGTTATTGGCACAAGTCTATCAACCACCTACGAAAAAAAAATCCAAACAGCACTCGAAGCCCAAACCATGAAAAAAAAGATTCACAAAGATAATTTTAAGCAATCTATAGAGTCCCAGACTAAACCCATTATAGCGTTGATCTATATTACATTGACATCAAAAAATACTGATTACATCAATCTTTTAATTGATAACAACAGCAAAAACAAACGAGTGTCCTCAATTTATTACTGGATATTTGATATTAAAAAATCCTGTACCACTAACAACCCATGCACTGTTACCAGGCCAACGGTTGTGCAGGAAGCTGACGGGTAAGTATTACCTTCAACCGCCAGGTTTTCTTGGTCAATTAATTATTTAATTAAGATTACCCACTTTCTAGAGGCTGGATTTGCCCCAGGAGGGTCTCCCGGCCCCAGGGTCGACCCATGAAAAATTATTAGTCATCAACCGAATTCGAACTTGGGGTATTGAGCTCTGGAACTCAGTGCTCAACCACTGAGCTACCCTGATCCCTGATAATTGATATTAATTTGTAGTGATCCTAACCAGTTAGGATCAATATTACAAAAAAAAAAATTCAATTTTTATTGTTATTTTTATTCAATTTTACCTTTATTTATTTATTTTTTTTTTGGTGGGAGAAGTGCGAGTTTTATCGGTTTAGTGATATTTCATTGGGCCATCTAATTAACTATCGAAATTTAGTTCGAGCGCAAGTTTTTCGAATGATATAATTAAATATTATTCGAATTAATTTAATTATTAGTTTGATAGAATTCTTTGCTGTAGGGATCGTTTATAAGGTTTTTAAGGATGCTATCATATTTTCGATGACGCATGTGGATTTCGATTTACTGCTGCTGTTGAAGATTTCTGCAATGTCGAGATCATTTATTAGGTTTTCGAAGACGCTGAACCCAAACTTATCATCTGATTGACGATCATTAGAGTTGTAGTAATTATCTTGCAGTTGATGTCTTTTGAATTCTAATTAAAATCTATTTTGGCATATTGTGAGTGTAAATTAATATAAAACCTAACATTAATTACTTTATTTATATGGATATTTATTGAAGAAAGTTAGTCGACTGTTCTACATATCATGGGTGATAAATATTCAGGACGCAGTCATTATAAGGTTTTTATTAGTGCCGACGTTTCAACCCAAACGTGTGGGTCATCATCAGGGCGCGTGGTTCGAGCACTGAAGATATTCAAGTACTAAGTTAGTATCAGATAGGATCTTAAAGAAATCTATCCACTATGAACCAAAAATAATCACGAAAAATCAGAATCCCTATATTTTAACAACGTTCGTTCCCCTCTGATACCTCTGTAATACGACTTCAAGAGTATGGCATTAAACATAAAATTGTTTGATTTCTAGAGATGCTTGAAATGACAACCGACCTGCAGGATCTGCAATCTACAACATATCATGTCCTCCACATTACTGTACCAGTTCTTGGCATAGGACTATATTATTTCTACATATATATATATATATATATATATATATATATATATATATATATATATATATATATATATATATATATATATATATGCATATAACTATTTTATATTTCAATTTTAAACAACCTATAATACTTTAATTACAAAATTCTACTCATTTTTACGAGTTGTTTGAACCCACAGACCCTTGTAATATGTGTCCGACAACTCTTGCTTCTTGTCATCTATTATCGTCTAGGACTGATCTAGGACTTGAAGAATCACTTAAACACCATTTCGTATAGGTAATTAGTTCCTTTCTTTCTTGCGAAGTAAATATACTCCCCAAAATTAAATCTTGGAACCGTTAGTGATTATAGTAATAGAACAATTTTCTCTAAGATAGATACCTGATCATAAGCGAGGTAAGTATATAAGAGTATTGATAAAACTATCTACGATAGATAGATAGATAGATATTTTATTTGTTTTTGGGGGGTTCCCCATACAAATAGAGCCTAGCTTGGCTATTGTACAATAATATGGTTTTACAAATTTACATACCATTACATATCGTTTAAATATAAATAAACTTTACAATATTTTCCGTTTATAATGGGTTTTACAAAGCATGAAAAACAATAAAAGTTAAAAACATAAAACGATTACTGCATAATGATAGTTAAATGAACCTGTTACTATGATAGAACAATAAAAAATAAAAATATGTATATATACAAACAAAATATTACTTTTTACATAAACTAAAAATAAACACTTAATATAACATGGGCTATGATCAAAAATTTTGTGAATGTACTTTGTGTTCTCCCATCATATAATAGTAAACTTTGTTTACCTTATCTATACAGTCGATATTCAATATAGTTTCAATGTTGTGGTTATCAGAAGATTCTGAGATGAAGTTATGGAGGAATTTTTGTCTATATTCATTGTATGCTGGGCAATGAAGTATATAAGAGTATTGATAAAACTATCTACGAATGCATAATATTGCACAATTAAGGAAAACAATTAGTGGTTAATCCATTGACGAATAAAGAAGCTATAAATTTCACCTCAGTCGGTGGAAACATCGTATTGTACCAACAATTGAGACTGGTGGTATACTTTTTTTTAATAGTTTCTCTTATAACATAAAAATAGACACAGATCAATGGAATAGGAGAATAGTATTCGCTCAAGTTGTTATATTTATTCATATTGTTTTCTCATAAGACTTGGTAAAAATCTTGAGTAATTAATTTTGTAGAGAGAAATTGAAAAAAAGAAACCATCGTTACTGATCACTCTATTCTAGTATGCAATAAGATTGACAAAGGTGTACAAAAGTAGACTCTTGATAAGGTGAAATGTATCTGAAACCTGTGAAACGTAATTGAAATACGGGAAGAGGTTTCAGACAGATTTCTATTCTTGATTTGCAAAATTTATTATTTATTGGAATCAGTACAACTATAAGAAAAAAAACTTGAAGAAGAACCGCAGAAGCAGATTCAAGATCATTCAGACTGATGTCTCCTACAACAAAAAAAAAAAAAAAAAAAATTAATTTTTATTTACATATTACATATTGGTCCATATTTATAAAATCTGAATTACTTAAACAATCAGTATATCTTCTAAAAAAAAAATAAAAGTCGTATTACTAAAATAATAATTATTCCACTTATTACTATTGTAAAAACAAAAACAAAAAATCAACTCCCCAAAATTAACCCAACACAAGGTACTTCCTTAAGTAATTTGCACATTCTATGATAGTTCTCTCTTAAAACGCTAAATCGCTTATACCTTAAAATATTATAGTAAGGTACTAGGGTGAGGCAACCGGAGCGATCTCCGCGGGGTGCCGACCCACAGTGAAACGAAACGCTAAAAATACCAATTTTCAAGTATTTTATTTTCTCGAAAAGTTTTATACCTTTTTGAAGCAAGACATCAAATTTAAAAAGAAAGATAATTTGAAAAATGTTTCTCATGATGAAATTTAAATACAAAGTTTTTGCTACTGGTACAGTAAATTTGAATGAAATGTGATGACGCAAAATGCATTAAAATTTCATTTAAGATTTCTTGGCTATAACCATATATCAAATCGAATGAATGAACTATTAACACCTCTCATCTGATTTATCAAAGGAAGTCTAGCTTTCAGACAATTTTGCTCAAAT